CGGCTCATTTACAGAGCCAATGGTACAACCAAGAAGAGAATTAGAAAATTGGACAGAAAGATAATCTCTATTTGAAATTTTAAAGTGTCATACATTTCAGATGTTCATTAGGAGATCCTAATTTTTAGTTCCAATATTTAAGTCTTATCCTTGGCAACATTTTATTTCCATGTGGAAGCTTGGTATGTACATCTTAGATTCTTATTTATCAGAGGGAGACTTTCATAGGAATGCAGGATGCTAAAAAATATCTCTCAAAATACACATTTAAAGATGGAATAGTCTGTTTTCACAGATTTAATTTTTGACTCCCAGTAGAGAGCAGGAGACTAAAGTAATTTATCTCTCAATTTGCTAGGGGGTGGTTTAAGTTTCAGTAAGCAGCAATATTATATTAACATGGACTATTTGGGTAAATTTGTTTCCAGGAGACAATAAATAAACTACTTCCTTAAAAATCAGAAACCAAATAATGTGCTCTTGTCATCAGGTGGTGCTAATATTATGAAAAATAGCTCTTGAAAGGTTTACTTAATGTGTGAATCCAGTTCGAGACTGGCTTCATTTCATCGCAGTGCTTTGAAACCCACTGAAAACCTCTTTGTTTGAATGTGAAATATCTTCTCAGATGATGCTTAATAATTTCCATTAAAATATTTAGGCAGAAGGACACTGGAGGGGCATAATAACTGAGTTCTATCATCTGTACTGCCAGTGGTTATTTTACCCGGCAGAGTTTCAATGAAAGTATTAAATGGTGCTGGTATAGCTGTATGCTTTCTGGGGGAAGGATTGCAGAAACTTTGAGTGAGGATGGGTAAGTGATTAGCACTCTGACACTGTGTATCACCCATCCATCCATCCATCCATCCTTCCTTCCATCCATCCATCTGTCCATCCATCCATCTATCCATCATCTACCTACCTATCCGTCATCTATCTATCTACCTCTCTATCATCTGTCATCGATATCTTCATCTATCATCCATCTGTCCTCTATCTGTATCTATCATCTGTCTTTCTCCATCAGTGGAAGGGAAAGATCTCAGTGTTCTAATTTTCTTTTCTTGTAGTGCAGGGCATCGAGCACAGGGCCTTGTGACTCCCTGTGCTTGAAAAGCAAGAACTCTGGCTCCGAGCCACATCCCCAGTCCACTCAGTGCTTTACCTCCTCCATTGTGTACTTTGCAGGAGCGGGGAAGCTCCGGCTTCTGTGGGCATGCCCCCATCCAGGCTTCACAGGAACTTTCATGGAGAGCAGAGCAGGTGATTGGCCAGCTCCATCACCTGCTTGATGGGTGAGAACTTGGCTGATTGGCCTGATGAGATGAGGGCATAGATAGTCTTCTGTGTGTCTCTACCACTTAGCACACAGAAGGTCACCAGAATAGTTGCCCAGCCTGTGAGATGTGGCTCCCTCTGCTCATCCAGGAGTAAAAGTCTTCCTGCACAAAGTCTGAGTGGGAGGGAAACAGACCCTGGTGGAGGGTGAAAGGTCACAGCAGAGACTGTGGCTTCTCCTTTAGCACCATGCCCTGAAGAATTTGATTACTTTTATAAAATTTCCCAAGTTTCTTTTGACACAGCGTTCACATTACCCAACATTCAGCACTATGATGACATCAGACCATGGAGTTTGGCTGGTTCAGTGTTAATTCCCCTTTATTCCTGACCGTTCTTCCTATCCATTCCTTTGACGATTGATTCGGGGTTTATTTCGGTGGATGAGGGACTTGAATTGCTCTACTAAAGAAAGGTTTAGTTTAACATTGTGATACATGTCTTCATATTTTATATAGCCAAGAATAGAGCTATAAATTAATGTGATGTGAAACAGAAATACTTCTTCATCCAATGTGTTTTTCCAACAATTAAGCTGAAATCATTTCTAAGCCAAGTAATTCGTAGACAGCTTTAATAAAAAGTACCAAGCAAATTCTTGTACTTTTGAAAAGAAAATACAGTGGAGTGGTACTGGAGAAATGTCTTATATGATTAAAAATATTAAATATCCTACAGATGCTTGCATTTGCCTTAGTTTCATTTGATATAAAGGAGAACTGTGTTGACTGAGTGCAAAGTTACAGTTTCTCCTAATCCTGATTCCCTATGAACTTAATTCACATAAATAAACTGACTAACTGAGCTTTCTTGTTGGGTCTAATAAGGGAACGGTGAGATGACTACACTACCCATGAAATTTGGGGTATGGGAATGAAAATGTATTTATGATAAAAGAGGTAGAGAAAAATGATTCTGAACCAAAAGCACTTTTCTGTTTATTGCTAGAAAAGACATATAGCTCTGAGGCCTGACTCGTCATGATTTGCGGGCCCCCTGAGATCTATACTGTATCATCCTTGTAAATCTGCCTAAGCTCAGGTAGCTGATTAAGTGCTTCCTCATTTGTTATTTCCTATTCAAACACAGATTTGACCTTTGAGTTTTTATTTTGACTACATAAGAAATGGACATGATGTTAAAAAAGAGCTCTTCAGAACAGAAACATAAAATACCCAGGTATAGGAATGAGTATGGGTGTTTGTTGTACAATATAAGTTTATGACAAATTTAAATGAATATAACTGCACATGTGTTACATTTTTCATATAGCATGTACATGTTATATACATATTTAAAGATATTTCTTTCTAAATTTCATTTATATATGCTATTTATATTTTAAAAAATTTGCCTTAGAAAACAATGTGTAGCCTCATCCCACATCCCGAAAGCCTTGTGCAAATGTATCAGATTTAAATAAACTTTGGAATAGAAATTTTCAGTAACAGTTTTAACGCACCATATAGCTTCTGAAAGAAGAGTTGAGTGCAAGTGTTCTGTATAAAATGTTGAATAATAACAAAGAGAAAAGCATTGAAAGCATTCAATTCATTTTAATGTCAATATAACTTACAACAGAATAAAAATATTTCATTTGATCACATAGTAAAATGTATCTCTTGACTGTGTATAAAATACTGTTAATCTTAGGTTTAATAAGTATCCTTCATATGTTCCCAGGAAGGAAAATGTTGACTCATTAATAATAGTCTATTATGTCCAGCGCCGTAATCCCAGGGCACTCCTGCGCAAGCCTGTTGTTTTAGATAATTGATCTGCACCCATTCCACACCTGGGGAGGGAGAACCTCTGTGTTCAACTTAGTTTGAGCCTCTTTTGCCCACAGGACTGGGTGTAAATGCATGCATATCCGCCGAGAAGGCGGTACAGAGCAACCCGATGGTTAATACAGCTTCCCTTGTTTTCTACATATTCCACTGCTGTTAGAAGCAAGCTTTTGGCAGAAAGCAGTTTCAAATAAAGACGCACTTCTTCAGTGTTTTAGCTTTTGCTGGAATCCACATTCTGATCTGAAATTTGTCTCCCACGTATAAATTACAGAGTTGCAAGTGGGATCGATAGTTAGTAATTAGATTTGGTTTTCAGATGGATTTAACAGATTCTCTTGCTTTGTGCAGTGAAGAGTTCTGATTTTGTATTTTAACTATTACAAAACAAATTCAATGAGAAATGGTTCAGGAATTAGAACTTTTGTACATATTAAATTTCTCTATTTAATTTTTAAAAAATAAATGACAGTTGTACATTTCTATTCATTCTAAATGAAATAAGTTCTAATTCATGGATTCTGTTCATTATGGAATTATGGTTACATGTTATAGTATTTCCATGGTTGTTTGATATTCAAAGAGAGCAGTGCTTTATATAACTTGTCTCTTGGCATATTTTTCAAAGAAGCAGACGTAGGGCATAGGCTGAGTTCTACATCAAATGAATTGGGAACAAATGGAAGACATCTTTTCCTCTTAGACATTTGTAAGTGCTGTCATACGCTGAGGTTTGTGAAGTCCTTCCAGAAAGAGGCATGGGCGCACTGCTTCTTGATTTCCAGTGTCGTGACCATGGGGGACATTTTCCTATGTAGCATCTAGGGGTATCTGAGCCGGTGAATTTTTAAAATACACCCCAAGAAGCAGTGATTTTTCTCAAGTAACTGTCCTTTTTAAAGTGTATATTCTGTGTTTATTTGCAGTGTAATTTGACAGTGCGTACTTTTGCAGAGTGGGAGAGGCCCCCAGTGAGCATCTTTACGTAGTGTTGGCTTGGATGCAGAAGGCACAAGGGCCGGGCACTGACTGTCCCGTAAATTCCCGAGAAGGGAGGGGGTGCACCTCGGGCTCAGGGGATGGAGGAGCCTGAGACATTGTTTTCAACCTTTCTTCTTCACTTCCCTTCGGTCCCACAGTTTGCACCATACCTTCTAGTTCTGGTGCATTTCGGCACTCTGGATGCTCAGAACTGTCCCTAGGTCCTCCTGCCGAAGGGCCAGGGGTAGCTCATCGCTTCATAGAATACAGGAAAGTTAGTGTTGGGTAATCTCATAGTTTTTGCTGTCTGAATTTAGTTTCTTTTAATTTCTTGTCCTGAACTCATGAGGAGATTTTTTCCAGTATTGCTAGATTACACATTTCTTTCAAGAATCATTTCAGCACTGGAGAGAGATGTGTATTTTTAAAAATCATAGTTTAACAAAGTGGCACTAAGACATTTACCTGCTTCTTAAGTTACCTGTATGTTGTCCAGAATATGTGTGTGCGTAGGTGTTTTTCCTGTGTGTGAATGGTTCATTTGACGTGGGAATTTTTCACTTGATTTTTTTCTTGACAAATGGTTTTCAGTTCTTTACGGATATCTTTTCCCCAATGTAAGATGTACTTTCCTGCTACTGCTGATATATTGTTTTAATATGTTCATGGAAAATATTGGCTAATCTCAATGGATTTCTGTAGAATATACTGTGAAAGAATATTATGAAGGGCTTATTTTATTTTATTTTCCCTTAAATCAGGCTCTCCAGAGTTGTCTTTTTTAGCTTTTTAAATTAATACGTTTGTTATCAGATTATTCAGTGTTTGATCCAGTATTTGTTTACTTTTATTCTAATCAGTAAAGTGTTCCTCTTTTTTTTTTTGTAGAGCAATGAAGTTGTCTACTACAATGCTAAGGATGATCTTGATGTGAGTACTCTACATTTTATCTTACATTCTTATTATAATGGCATGATTGATATTATAGAACAGGTGGATCTTGGCAGGTTTAGTTTCTAAGAACATGCTAGGTAGTATAAGCAAGATACGAGTTAGACATAGCGAGGAAATGATGGATTTTAATGCTTGTGTATTTCCTCAGCTTCTTACTGGCCTCTTCCTAAGTGGAAGTGCTGTGTACTTCTCCAGATTTGTGTTCTCACGGAGCGGAGCATTCTGTCTCACCCCAAACCTTCCAAATGTTCTGCATCCGTGAGCAGAGTTGGGGGCAGGGATGAGGTTCCGTCCTCCTCGCTGGCTCCGGGCTCCCAGTCACCGCACAGAACAGCGGGGAACCAGTTCCATTAACCGCGATGGGGTGAGACTCAGGCACAAAGAGAGGCTGGCCCTGCCGGCCCTGCTCTGAAATACAGCAGTTACACCGCGGGGTTCCAGCCCCACTGGAGCCCTGGCAAGGGGACCCAAGGCCCCAAGTGCTCTATCTTTGGGCCACACCCTCAGCCCACCAGTGGGACTTCCTGACCAAGGACTGTAATGCGCATTTTCAAGTCAATTATGAACATGAATTATTCGAGCACTAATGAGTTATGTCTACTATTGCCGCTCTGGGTACCGATAGAGGAGACATTTTCAAGTTACATTAGCAGCATTTTAAAATTTTAAGGTACAATTTACACCTAGGTTTTAAAATTTCTAAAGTTAAAAAAAATTTCTCAGACTTGATTATTGGCATGGAAAATATCTGCATGTAATTATTTATCCAAGAGTATTTGTTGAGGTTCTCCTACATTTTAAGCATTCATCTAAGAGCTTGGATGATCAGGAAAGAATCGAATTAATGTAGTTGAATTGTATTTACTACCTAAACATTTTTCATCTAAATAAAAGAATTATAATATAATTATAATATATAATAGATATAGAGAGATATAATGTATATGATATATTATATATTGATAGAATACATACATAAAAAGAGAGAGAGGGAGGGTGATACAGGGTGAGAGAATATATATAGAGAGACACCAAGGGAGGGAGACAGACAGACATGAGCTAGTCTTTGAAAAAAAAATTCAGAATACAGTATACTTTGCTAAAATGTCACAACTCCCCAGATTACGCCACTAATAATAATAATTATGAATATAGCAATTAATGCAACATTGAATTTTCCCATTTGCTGCTAACCATTTTACATAAATTAATTCTTGCAATAACACTATAAATCAAGTGTTTTATTTCTTCTCTCCTTTTTGCTGATGAAGAAGTAAAATTTTTTCAAGGTGTTTTCCCTCTCTGTGTGTAAGTGGTTTGCTAGTGACGTTTTCCTCTTACAAAGAGTATATACATCTTTAATTAAATCTTTAATTAAGTGTGTCAAACAATATATATCATTTTATTTATTTTTATTATTATTATTATTGTTATTATTTGAAACTGGCAGTTGAGCGCAGGACGTTGTGCTTGTCGGGCAGGCACCATGCTGCTGAGCTATGTCCTCAGCCCCTATATCATTTTCATTAATTACAAAGAGTATATACATTTCAACACAAAATGTTGCTGTGTGTATTGATTAGTATCAAAATAAATATCACTGGGCAGAGAGATTCAGTTTCCTATAGAATTAGTATTTGATATTTAAATATTATGTGGTCATTTAAAATATATGCAAAATCATCATCGACTTTCTTGGTAGTATGTTCATGTCAATCACAAGGCTGCAAAGTTGACATATATGCCCAGTATAAATGAAAAAGTGTTCATAGATTATATATTTAGAATACTTGAGCTGTACTCAATATTTTTGTCATAGTTTGTCTACATAGACATTGATTTAGGTATCAAATGAAATTCTCTGTAAGCTGAAAAAAGCATTCACAAAGATGGACATATTACTTTTTCTGTGTTTTGTCTTTTCCCATTAAAAAAGTAGGACTATAGTTATAGTTATAACTATAAAATTACTATAGTTATAGTTATAACTATAAAATTATTATAGTTATAGGTATGACTATAAAATTATTCATTCCTTTTGTTAGATCCAACATGAATTTAATCAAAACTTTATAAATTACCAGCTTTTATATTTGACACCTAAAAATTGGGAAAAGCTTTTGGAGGAATTTTTTCCATTTATTTATATGAAAACAACTGTGCCAGAAAAACTTGCAGGATGTGGTCCAGTGGAAGAAACATAGGACAGGAATTTGAGATTAATTCATGCCCCAGAAGAATCCCAAGTTTAACCTGCATTAGGGTATTAAAATCTATTACAATTCAGAGAGCTATTTTTTCACGTAAGACCTGAAGTAGTCAAGTTTGTAAAGTGTGATGTCCCCTCCATTTCTGAACGTGATAGGACTCTACTAAGAATGCATGTATGTATAAAGAGCATACTTCTGTGTTTAGAGGCTATGGCCATGTCAATAGAATTTGACAGGCCAAAGGAAGAAAAGATATAATTCTCTTACTTTACTGTAAACATTTCTTTTTGTTTTATTTTTAAATTTTTTTTATCAACATATTTGTTTACACACTTTCGTGGTTCTTTAAATAAGCAAATTATTAAGTGGTTTAATTATTTCCTATGCTATGAAATAGTTGTTAAATCATTCTTTCAAGTTGATATAACAATTCTGTTCTACCTTGGAATTTTAATAATCCCTTATGAATATGCACATGTATAATAATGGAATAAATCTCTGTATACGTGAACATTTTTCTTCATGATTTTGACTGATTTGTAGCATAGATTGCCTACAAGTGGTAATATTTTGCCGAAGGTTTTAGGTATTTTAATCCATTTTGACACATATTGCAGTCACTTACGGAAAGAACCAGGCCAAATTTCTCTGCCATCGTCAATGTACAAAGTAATTAATTCCTCAAAGGCCTCTCAGCATTATATTAAAAGATAATTTGACACATTAGAATTGTTTTTCACTGCTTTGATTACTTTTGTCTGCTAATGTTCACATTTCGCCCTCCATATGGGAAAACCATGGTTTTTCAAAAGACTTCTTATGAGCTGTGTGACCCTGTTTACATTTTCCAAGCTAAGTGAAGTTCAACTTACTTATCTGTAGAATATGTATATTATCATATGTTTCCTAAAATTGGCTAAAATAAGGTTTTACGCATATTAAGCTGAGAACCTATCGCCTAATACATGTAAGCAGTAAATAAATGCTTTGAGCTTTTAGCCATATTACTGAGTCTATTTCTGTATTAGTTTGATAAAAATAAGAGATTATTTTGTAAGACATTTTAAAGGATATTTCTACTATTAACTTTTAATTTATGTCACATATTTGCACCTGAAATTTCAGGGAATTACCAAATATAAATTCAAATGATGCACAATCATCAAAAACATGGAGAAATGTGTAAGACATTTTGCTAGATATCTGAGAAAACATTTTTTATTGAGCACGAACACTTGATTTTATTGTATACTTCCTGTAGGCCATGTTAATTAAAGAGTCGAAACTGATGGTGTGGCAGCCATTGCTTAAGTAAAGCAAGAATGTAATTTGTCAAGAGAAAAGAATGGTTCAAGGAATTATCTAATAAAGCATAATCCTACGGCAGAAGCCTTTTGAAAAATAACAGGATCAATAAATTCTCATGTTGAATCTCAGGTTGAGTTTAAACTATGAGATGAATTGAGGCAATAGTATAATTTTCTGGACTTAGAGTAGTTCATGCAAAAATTCTGAAAGCTTACAAAGAATTATAAGATGATTAATTTTATGCTTCAGCAAGACTTTTCTGTTGGAATAACTCAAGAGTGCTTTAGCTATGTACTAAAACCTTACATATTGAATAAAATTAAATCATTTTGTATTCATTACTATGTTTTTTGACTATTATAGAGAGACTTAAACTAAAAGTAGCTAAACTTAGACAGAATTTGAATCTTCTGTCATCATTCTGACTCCAGGGGCTAATGTGACAACCCACAATAACCCACCTCTTCTCTGATTGTACATTTTTTGGACCAAGATTCACATTCCAATGCCCAGGGCCTGCTTTTCTTGTTTTCTCTCTCCTTTCCTGGAGGGAAAAGGGAAGACCTTTGTCTTTAAGGGTGTGTTCTGAAAGCTGCACAGTCGCTGCTATCCTCAAGAAAACCTTGCCGTGGATATTGTACTTCGGCACTCACACCTACAAAAATGTGTATTGTGCCACACATTTGTCCCCAGAGGTTATTATGTATCTGATGAACTGGGCCTCAGCGGCAAGAGGAAATGGAGTGCAGTTTATCCCCTTCGGATGGAGCTGAACCGCTGTAAAATCTAGAGGTCTGGTCCTCAACAGAGAACGGGCAGGGAGCTACCTGGGAGATAAGAAAATAGTTTCTGTACAAATCTTTAGTTTGCTGTTCTTTACATCATCATGGTAACGCTGACACTGCACCAACTCATCTGAGTGATCACTATCACTTCAGCACCACCAGATTCTTTAACTTGAGAAAGAAATCTCTTCTTCAGTGAATTGAATATAAGACTATATTTTCTAGTCCTTCCTAACTCTTCTGTTTTCATTAGGATGATCAAATTATTTTCCGAGACTAAAATATTTCTCACAGTGAAAGAAAGCTCAGCAATGTAAGTGATATTCTACTTCAGTCCTTACACATTTTCCTCCAAAGATTAGTATTATGTGATGAGGTCGAACTTGTTTGAATGATGAGATATATTCACGCTCACCAAAAGCTTTGCAGTACAGGTGAATTTAACTGGCTGCTTTAGTCATAGCATCTTAAATGTAGTGTTAGATTTTTATCTATCAAATTTATCATTAGCCTGAACTCCCTGTCACTTCAGACACACCTAGCTCCTCATTCTTGCCACTGTCTGCAGCACGTCTGAGCTCCTCTTTCTTGAACATCTCTGGTTGTACTGTCATGGATGCCTTGATATCCTGAATCAATTCAGAATGGTTACTGTGATGGTCATCTTGACTTG